GCAGGCTCTACTCACCTCTTAAAAGCACAAATAGCAGGGGTTGGGAAGGTGGCTCAATGATAGAGTGTTTGCCTTGCATGCATGAGGCCCTGGGTTTGATTCCTCAGCACCACATAAGCAGAAAAAAGCTGGAAATGATGCTGTGGCTCAAGTGGTAGAGCGCTAGCCTTGAGCTGAAGAGCTGAGGGACAGCACCCACATTCAGAGTTCAGGCCCACCACCAACCACAACAACAAAAAATGCACAAAGAGCATGGAAGGTTAAAAAGCACAAGCAAACTGACGACCCACAAGAGTGTGGCCACCTGGCTCCTTTGCCAGAATCCTGCCCTGGGGGTGGATGGCAACCATATCAGTGACCTGCAACTACTGGCAGAGTAAATTTGCTCACACTCTGACCTGAGCATTCTTTCTATGCTGTGGTCATCTGACCAAGCTGAGCATCATTCATATACTATGTTCAAGGAACTTGTCTGTGCATGTCCCCTGGGATCATACACTGAGTTGCCTTCCAGTCTGTATAGCACAGTAGTCTGTAGTGCTTATTCTTATTTCTTTGGTGTTCACAATGACCAACATGGCCGACAGACCAGTTACTGGCTCTATTTCATAGATGAAGGCGTGAAAGCTGAGAACCTTGCTCATGGTCATGTTTAGGGAACTAGGAAACTTCCTATGTGGCACAAACCTTAAGGTAATAACTTTGAGCTTTCCTTTTCATTCAGAGAACATGAAGGCCTCAGGTCTTCCTTTGAGCCCAATGATAGCTCTCTTCTTCCTATCACTGAACATAGTATGCCATGGTAAATCAAAGGGATTCAATAAAAGTTTATTAATTTTATTCTGATTCAACTGTGACTCTTGGTAGTACAGTTTCATTGCACTAATATCATTTTCTTTCTAGTTTGGATTGACTTAGAGAAACTGACTTTGGTTTCATTTACAACTTGGTTAAAAATTTAGTTTGAAAACTGAAGAGATTAATTCCATCTTCTTTCCACTTTTGGTTGATGTCACACCAACTCCATTTTCTCCCAGGCAGTGAAAGCTGTGCCCTGGGCTCCAGGCTCTCTGTTCTGATACCAACCCTCACATCTTTTCCTGGACATAGTCATGAAAAGAAAGTGATGCGATAGTTGGAGAATTCTCCTGTGTCATGATCACTTCTGGGGGTGAAATCTTAAAGTATCTTCCTAATTGGAATTTTGTTTTCATGCCTTAAACCAAACATGACATAAGTCACTCCCCCACATAGCTGGTCAGATGAGTGAGACCCACCTTGAGGTTCAGCAAACTGATGGTAAGAAATGAGGGTGCACCTGTTCAGCTCAGAGGAACCAACGTTATCTCCATTTTCTTTAAAAGATGCTCTGAGACTTCTTGAAAGACTTCTTTGGAGTCTCAGACTTCCAAGATTTCCAAGCTAGTCATCAATGACCAAGTCCTGAAAGTAGATCCGACTCACAGGACAACAGCTAATACACACCTGCCCTTTCTATATGTCAGAGGCAGAACTAACTTCTTTGTACATCTCATGCCTCTGCCTGCTTTCATTCCCTTCCTATGAGGCAGAGACAAATGTCATCCCTGTAGCTACCACATGCCATCAGCTCAGTAGAGGGCAGCTCCTCCATAGAGAAGAAGCTGGAGTTAAGATCTACATGTCTTATTAGAGTTGGAAAGAAAAAAAAGATATATTCAGATCCTACTAAAAGATTCAGACAAATAAGTAAAACCTTCATTGTGACTGGAAGAAAAGATGTCTTTGAAGATACCTCTCTCTTGGGTCATCTACATGAACAAATACCCACATTTCCACTGTGTTTGGACTGTTATGAAATCTGGAGTCTATTTGAGGAAATGGCAGCATTCACCAGCCCCTACCTGATATAGGTACCCATCCCAGCTTTGCAGGTTTCTTTTATTTTTTTTTCAGTCGGTTGTGGGGCTTGAACTCTGGGCTTAGGCGCTGTCCCTGAGCTCTTTAGCTCAAGGCGAGCACTCTACTGCTTGAGCCACAACGCCACTTCTGATTTTCTAGTGGTTTATTAGAGATAAGAGTCTCAAGGACTTTTCTGCCTGGGCTGGCTTTGAACTGTGATCCTCAGATCTCAGCCTCCTGAATAGCTAGGATTATAGGCATGAGCCACTGGCACCTGGCTACAGACTTAAGAAAGGCAAACACTGATGTTTCTTCAAATTCCTGATTTTGAAAGATGAATGAACACAGGGGAAAATGTCTCACTCCTTGGATCTCGATGGATACTGAAGCTGGGAGCCACATCCAGCCCAAAGGAGGCCAATTTGGAATACAGGCTTCTTTAGTGGGATCCTCCCCCACCAACATGGCCTTGTAATTCACCTCTCCTCTTCCAAACCATCAGCAAGAGGCCAAACCAGCCTCCAGCATGGGGTAGATGAACAAAGGGTGAGAGGATCTGAACAATGGCAGATGAGTAAGAAAACAGACATGGAACAATGTTCTTTTTCATGTCTCCTGGCTTCTCATTCACACTGTTTCTGTACTCCTTTCTTAAAGTCACATAATAATTGCCCATCTTTTCATCTATCACTCTTTAAATCGTTGCAAGTTTTGGGAGAAGCTATCAGCAATCCATTATCTGCTGCTTTGCTCTCCCATTCTAAGCATTTGCTGTCAGTCCTTTATGAGAAATCTTCTTCCTGTTTGATGACTGACTTGATTCCCAAGCAAATGTTCACACAACACATAGTACAAACGTCCCTGACATGAGTGAGCTTTATGGTGAAAGTAGAATGTTCTCAGTGCTGGCTGCTGTGTAGATTTCAGTAAGACTGGGATTTTTGTCCACTTGGTCAAGAGACTGAAGACCCCTTTCTTAGATTTTGCAGTATTCCCTCTTTTCCCTCATTTAGAATTGCACCTTAAGCCTGTCCCCAAGGCTCTGGATTTCAAATTCCCATGTTCTCCTGGTGTATTGCCCAGCATTCTGCCCCAGAATAAACAACAGCTCATTTGTAAGAGGTTTTGTTTTGTTTTTAATTTCACCTTGGTATGCCATTGAAGAGTGGAATTAAAGGTCTCTATTTGTTTTCACTCACACAGTATCTGCTACATTCTCCAACGTGTCTGTACCACAGACACTTACAGAGCCTCCCTACCAAAATCTGCTTTGTTCTCACTCATCAGACGGCTTTGGGGTTCTTCCTGGTTTGCATACATTATAAGCAAGAGTACACAAAAATCACACAACACAGACTCTACCAAAAGGGGACTTTTTCCTCTGGACTGGCAGAGCATAAAGAGAACATGTAGCCGTGTACATTGGCTCCAATGACAACTCCAGGAGTGAGGCCAAGCCTGCCACACAGTCCCTTTAAAAGGAGTCTAAGTTATCTTCTGTCTTTTCCCCTGCCTTTTTTAGTTTCCCAGGAGGTTTCTGGTACAGAAAGATCCCATCCTAGCACCACAGTTAGAAACCAGCGTGTGGCACTCTCCTGGTCTTCGGTGGCTATGGGGTCTTCTATGTTCACCTCCAGTAGGGTGAACTGGAAGAAGGAGCCCCAGTTCTCTGCCAGCTCTTCTCTCCCTCTGAGCTTCACAAGGCTGTTTAGAGATAGACCTCTGGAACATGGACTCTCAACATTTTTTCCAGTAAAGAGCCAAATCGAAATAGCAAATATTTCACACTTTTTGTATTCAGTCTATCCCAACGTCTTTCTTTTAAGAATGCTTTAAAATCTTTGAAAACACCAGATCTGCAGGCACTACTCTGTCAACCTCTGTTCTAGAACACTACCATGCCATGCCTTCTTCTGCGCCCTCAGCCCAAACCCCAAACCTTTCCCCTTTGAAGGACTCTGGCCCACTATGAGCTGCTGTTGTCTGCCTGTGTAGGCTTGGCAGAGGAACTCTGACTGGCAGAGCTGCCCACAGGGCTCAGGTGCGGCAGCCTCCTATTCTGCACTCCCAGGTATCCTCCCTTAGCACGTGGATGGTTTGGCTGTAACTTTAAACAAATACCACCTCAGTCCGGATCATGTGTTATGGGGAATGACGCCTCAGTGTCCCCTAGGGAGGTAGGAACATGTGATCAGCCCCACACCGGATGCAGGAGCTCAAGAGCAGAACTATCTTTCCAGATGCTGCCCAATCATCCTGTGTGAGAACTGAACAGAAACTGCAAGAGTCTAGATTTTGTATTTTCTAAGATCCTGGTTAGGGATTATTCTGTCCCACTCAAGCAAGCCCAGTGATTCAACCTCAATGAGAACAAGAGTACAAGTCCACTAGCAAATACTGCCAGCTACAGAGCTGCTTTCCAGATCACAAGGACACTCTAAGAAACAGAATAAACTCAAACACTCAACACTGTAGGGACAGTTGGAACAGCCCCTCTGTCCTGCTGACAAATCTTTTCAAACTAAAAATAAAGTTTATAAAAGTAAATTATCTCGTTTTATAACTTAAGTGCATCAAGCATTTCCTTAAATATAGTTCACACTGAAAATAAAGTTACTTTTGCTGTACAGTTGGTGTCTGTTATAATTAAGAATAAACTTTGATGATAAAGTATGAAGGATTATACACTCGCACGCGCGCGCGCATACACACACATCTATCTGTCTGTCTGTCTGTCTGACTGTCTTCCTATGGTGTGTGGATGGATAGATGTATGCACCTCTTGACAAGTGCTTCCCCAAAATGGTGGGAAGTTGTTAGGAGTCCCTAAGTATCTAGTTTTCATGAGAATGCTTATATTAAAAGTCCCTGTCCTTAATGATAAACACATCTTCAAATCTAAAGCTAACACTCCTATTAAAAACATTAAACTATGCAATCCATAATGTATTCAGTCTTTGGAAATGCTGAGCTACACCGTGTCAATTTACAACAGCATCCCCAACAAAACTCCCTCCCCAACCCATCTCTTCTCTGGGCTCCCCATCCTAAAGCCAGTGACCCCTCATATAATATGGGTGTTCCATATGGAGGCTAACCAGCAAACCCTAGGGGAAGACTCAAGAGGTGAAATAAGAATTCTGCATGGAGTACAGGTGGTCAATAGGGTTTCCCACTCTGGACTGCAGGGGACCAGCTTCTGAGGTTGCTAGGAAACAGTCACCCAGGTTACTGAGGGAAGTGTCATCACTATCCAGGTCATGGAAAAGGGGCTCCGCACCTGAAATGGAGATGAAACACAGGCATGAGGTTCTTCAAAAAGTGAGTCACTTCAGTGCTGGGAAATCCAGCCAAACTTAAAAACACAGCTTCTTCAAGAGAGGCTAACGATACCACCCAGGGATAGACACTTGTCTTTTCAAACAGTAAGTTTTATTGAGTGCCTTTTGTCTCCCCAGATTTGTAGGACAGAGGAGAGGAAGGCCAGGTGCCTATCCTCAGCATCTCTGCGCCAGAGCCTGAGGAAAGGCCTGCTTCATCTGCATTCCTAGTCACTGAAAAGCTGGAAACTAGAGCTTATAAAATTGGTCATGGGGTATTAATTGTTCATTTTTCTAAAGGACATGTCACAGGGTCTTCATGTAATAAGACCCCTGAAACTCTGAACAAGTAAGAATGTGCATAAAACCCATGTGCCCTGGTTTCCCATAGCCATGAAGTGAAGACTGGTCCAGGTGTCACAGACGTCTACTAAAGAAGCAAAATGGATGTAGTATGGCCATTACTGAACAGTGCACACACACATCTATGGATGTGTATGTGCGTAAGATGGGCCAACAAAGGCCCTGAATTGTTTTGTTCTCCCCAAAAGCATTTGCAAAATGGATGGCATTCAGGGTTGTTAATGTACTATTCTAATTAAGGGGGAATGTTGACAAAATTTGTGTGACCTTTTATGTCTGTAGTATTAATATTTTAAAAACTTGCTGGACAAAACTTTAATTATTAGTTTATCAGGGTAATTCATTACAGATTATGTCATAGATTAGAACAGTGCATAACATTCTCAATGGATTTTCTCTGTGTAAAGGCATAGTTCCTATAACCCAGGCAAAAAGTTATCAAGACTCCTTCTCAAAAGGCGATGCTTTGGGGAGGGGAAGGGAAATAACAAAATGTTGAAACAAGGATACAGGTTGACCCATTGTAACAAAGAGATGTGTAAGACACTATGTTGAAAACGAACTTTACAACTTGGGGAGGGATGGGGGAGTTAGGGTGAGGTGGGAAAGGAAGGGATGGCAGGGGATAAACAAAGGAGGAGGTAGCAATGTTGATAGGAAATGTCCATCTTACCTTACTCATGTAACTGTAACCCCTCTGTACACTATTTTTACAATTAAAAAAACCTTTAAAAAGGCCTGCAATCTCAACTAGTAGGAGGCAGAGATAGGAGGGACATAATCTGACTCTAAACCTGGGCAAAATAGGAGACACCACCCCCCTCCCCCAAAAAGCAGAATCAAATGGTGGCAGGAGCATTAAATAGTGGCAGCAGAGAGGACAGGGGTGACATTATCCAAAAGAAATACACTTTTTCTGAAGAAACTAACTAACCCTCTGTACATCAGCTTTATAATAACAATAAAAATAACAATAAAAGTGGTAAAGTGCTTTCATAGCCACCACAAGGCCTTGAGCCCAAATCTCAGTACTACCAGTAATAATACTACCACTTTAATGGTAATAATAGTAACAATAGCAGTACTAAAAGTAATGAGAAAAGATATACGCTGAGTTGTATCCTAAGGCCAGACGTTAGCCTTCTGCTCCAGAGCTCACCTCTGCCCACTAGTCTCCAAGGGTAATCTGTCACTAACACTGGGTTAAGTGGAAAGGAGAGTGTAGTAAGGGAGGGTCACTAGGAAGGACTAAAAATAAAGGGCAATGGAAGCATCACTGATGAATGTGCATGAGTCTTTCTTCTGTAACCAATGGGTAGCATCCAAGCAGCATCTTGTGGGACATGTACTCTGTTTTGAAGTTTCATTGTGAATGTGTTTGGGGAAGGAATGAGAAACCCAGCCAAGCAAGTTGGGGCTTGAGTCCCTCTCACCATAAGGGTGCATGTGATCTCCAGGCATCTGGGGTGGGGTGAGCCCTTGTCGGAAGGGATCCGAACTGTAGACACTCTGCTCGATGGCCAGCAGCTGCTGTGGGGTGGGCAGAGCTGTGTAGGGGTTCATGATCCCTTCCATCCCAGCACTGCTGCCACCATTTGTCTGGGCTGTGTGGCAAAGAAGGAAGCAGGTCAATTCTTCACTCGCAGCTTAGCACCCCACCAGACTTCACATCCTTTACTACTACTGTTGCTCCACTACGTAGCCCTCTCTTAAGTGCTGAAGTGTCCTCATGGCATGCCAGCCTGATAACCCAGAACAAGTGACCCAAGTGAGTACAAAGCACAAACACCACACCTTTTGTGACCTAGCTTCGGAAGCCATATTCTCCCTCAGACTTATTCCGTGCTGGCTGGGCCACAAACGGGCATGAGCACAGGTGCTGAGAACCATTTCCCTCGCTAGGCTTTAGTTTCCTCACTTACAACAGATGACCAAGTGACATCCGTGATTCCAAGCCTACACCTATGAAAGGCCATCACCTGAGAGTCTCCCATGTAAATAAGGGGTTTGGGCACAGGTTTGGCAACAATTGAGTAGATGAACCTAAAGATCCTTTCGGTAATAACCTCCTATGAGCCCATTGGCCAAGTTAGGCTATTGGAACAACTGGTCTCCTAGGGCTAATATGAAGATGCTGTGAAGTCATGTGTACTTTGACTATAGCTAGCTGCACTTGTGCACAGAAGTTCATGAGAAGAGTCAATTACTACTGTTTACTAAGTCTATGATAGGATGTGCCTTGAGAATCCTTTAAACAAAGTCCAAGACACTAAGAGTTTGTGTTCCCACAATGCCTTGGCAGAATTCTTCTCCCTATGAGCTTGTTAGTTTAGACAGACAACTATGTATGCTCTAACTAAAGCCCCCCTCCTATCTGTGACCCTTTTTAAAAATTACAGGGGCCCCCATGAGACAGAGGTCACAGGTCTGATTACCCCGACCTACAGAGATGTATGGTCTCAGCTACAAAGAGATAGAAAAGTTAGTCCCAAATAAAGTAAGAGTTGAAAACAGAATTCAACTCTCTTGACCAGCTTGCTGTTCATCTTTTCCAACACTGTGATCTTGTTATCAGTTTTCTCTCTCATAAAAGAGTAGCCCTAAGTTTAAATGGTAAGAAGCTAAAGAAACTCTTAGGTTGCAAGAATCAAATTCTGGATCAAGGCTAGCCATGTGATAGCACAACTCAGTCCATGGAAAGACAAGAATCTCTACTGACAGCATTACATTGCATTGGCAATAGGATTTTTTATTTTAAGTAACATTTTGTGAAAATACAGACTTCTTGGGGTCTACACAGACTTTCCTTATGAGTCAGAATCTACATTTTATCAAGATTGCAGGCAATTTATATGCACATTCAAGTGTGAGAGATCTGCTCTTAAGATATAAACCCTTAGAGGTTGAGAAGGTAGCTCAGTGGTAGAGTGCTTGTCTTGCATACATGAGGCCCTGGGTTCAATTCCTCAGCACCACATAAACAGAAAAAGCCGGAAGTGGCACTGTGGCTCAAGTAGTAGAGTGCTAGCCTTGAGCTGAAGAGCTGAGGGTCAGCGCCCAGATCCAGAGTTCAAGCCCCATGACCAACAACAACAAAAAAAGATATAAATCCTTAAAGGAACCCTTACTTTCAGGAATGGCTGTGTTGGTGGATATGGATGTATATCCCTTTAAGAATGATCATGTTCTTTGTGACTATTTTGATTATAACTATGCTCTCTTAGCTGTCAAATCCTGTCCCAGTTGAATTTTTTAAACCCAAATTATAACTGAGCTCTTTCAAATGATTTCCAATGTGTCTTTGAATGATTTGGCCTAAAGAATATGTCTTTGGGGCTGGGAATGTGGCTTAGTGGTACAAGGCTTGCCTAGCATGAAGCCTTGGGTTCGATTCCTCAGTACCACATACACAGAAGAAGCTGGAAGTGGTAGAATTCTAGCCTTGAACAAAAGAAGCTGAGGGACAGGGACCAGACCCAGGACTGGCAAAAAAAAGAAAGAAAGAAAGAGTGTATCCTTATGCGGCAAAACTACAGAAACTCTAGAGACTATCTTATCTGCCTGTGCCATTATTAATCTTGAATTCTGCATGACACAGAAAATCATAATTAAAGATAAAAACATTAAAAGAAAGAATGATCATGTTTTTAAATTTAGTGAGACTGCTGATATTTTCTTTGAGCTTCATGGCCTCTGATAATTCTTGTTCCCAACCCTCCTACCAGCTCTGGAAGAAGAAGACGAAAGAGGAGAAAGACGAGGAAACATCAAGTAAGGTTGACTTAGGCAGCTCAGCCTAGTGGACAAAGAATTACAGAGATGCTTTCTAATCTCACCAGCATCCCTTACCCGTGTGGAACCCATTCTAACTTGCAGAGCACCTTTGTGCATATGTAAAATGGGGGGGCTAGCATTCTCTTCACCTCAGAAAAGTGCTTATGACAAAAGTAAGTCAGCAACCTGTGTGAAGACTCTTTGTGAACTGTGTTTGAAAAAGGATGGAATTATCATCTAACGCTCATTATCTTCATTATTTTACATCATTTTGGAGGGAGAAGGGTTCTACAGTTTGGATCTTAAAATACTGTCCCCAAAGCTCATATGGTAAAGCCTGTGACATTATTGGGAGTTGATGAACCTTTGGAGGAGGAGATTAGGTCACTGGATATGTGCTCCTGAAAAGAGATATTGGGACCTTCGCGTCTTCCTCTTTTCTTTCACTTCCTGGATGCAAGAAGACGAGCAGCATCCTCCATTGCATGCTCTGTCATGATGTTCTGCCTTTCAGCAGGGCCAAGCAACCAATGGACAGAAAGCTATTGAAACCATAAGCCAAAACTAAACCTTTCAAGTTGATTCTCTCAGGTATTTTGTCACAATAACAGGAAGCCAAGAGGTGAGATAACTGGATTTGATGAGAAGGAGGAGAACTGGGTGAGAGGGGAAACTGGACATGGCTTTGACTTTGTACATGGTCCTGGCACATCCTCCTGACACTGGCAGGATCTAAGCAAGGGGGATATGCACAAGGCTAACATCACCTCCAATGACCACTTCTAGAGGTGTAATTCACATGTCCTCCACACTCTTGCAAGTTCTCCATGCTTCAGTCCTCATCTAAAACTAATCTCTCTCAAGTGGGTGTGTGGGCTGGCCTTCACTCAAAATGCTGGGCAGTTGGAGGCCTCTGGTTGGAGAGGCCTAGACACCAAAGGGCTTTGCCTGAAAGAGCCACCAGCTTACCAGAACTCAGCCTCTGGGTGTTCTGCTGGTCTTGCTGCTGCTGCTGCTGCCGCCTGGCCAGCTTCTTCATCTGGGGAGATAAGAAACACAGGATTAGTCAGGAGCCTGCAGAGGTTCACTCGGTGAGAGAGAAACCGAAGGGCCAGGGCCCTCTGGTGAGAGATGGTATTTGTAAAGTCGAGGAAGTGCTTCTCCAGCTTTTTCACAGTCCAGGAGCCCTGTGAAGGAGTAGTGCCTCAAGTCAAATGCAGCTGGCAGAGAAGCAATGCAAAGCTTGTCTTCAAAGAACAAGGAATTCCTCTCTGCAAGAACCAGTCACTGCTAATCCTTCACCAGTTTCGTGTAAGACAATAAGAAGTACCTGGGTGTGGGCTTTGCAGCCGGGATAGATGTGGAATGGTGGCTGCTGATGAGGTGGGATTAAGGATGTTCCAAGAAAATGCCCTTCACTCCACATCTACTGGCCCTTGTCTCTGAAACACCTCCAGAGAGATTCATGTCTCTGGAGGTACCAAAGCAAATACTTATCCCACTTCTGTGTCAAATTGTGTTCTGGGGAGGGAACACTGGGATTCCACAGGATGTTAACATGTACTTTGAGAAAGCTGGGGAATGTGAGATTTTTTTTTTAATCAATTTCTTTATTGCAAGATTTCTCAGAATTTTAAATGTGTACTTCTGCTTAGTGAATCTATGATTATGGGAGCTTCTAAACTTACTGCATCATGGCATCCTCTTCTAATGAAAAAAATACAACAGCCCTGTTCTGAGGATTCAGTGATGGAAATACTAACTTAACCAGTCATAATCAGGTAAGGAGAGAGCAAGTTACCACCCACTAATGACCAGGATCTTGGCAAAAACAGACCATGCCACATGCATTTTTAGGGGTAGGAGGATAAATGAGTGAAAACTCTCAAATGAAACCCATAATGGGAGCACTCGAGCCTTTATAGAGTTTGAGGACACTGGTGATTGGGGCTGTGCTGGTGAGAGGCAGATGCTGGAAAACGGGAGTAGAGGTATTTATCCTGCTCATCAGTCATGGGTGTTTGGGGGTGTTTCTTTGAAATTTTCAAAGAACTTTACAATTTAGAATAAATAACAATTAAAGAATAAAATTAATAAGCAAAATTAAATAATATGGTATTAAGCTAGACATGATGCACACCTATAATCCCAGACCTCATGAAGCTGGAGTAGGAAGAGACCCTCTCTCAATCCCTACCTGTTTCCCCCAAAAATATAGTTTTACTGAAAGACACAGAAAGACATTTATTCATATAGATGGCAGTCAGATTCATAGTCATGGCCACTAAGAATACAGAAGCCACTTTGGGGGAAAAAAAAGAAAAGAGAAAACCCTTTTCTCTTTCCTTTTTCAGGGACACTATATCTTCAATAATCATGGACAACATAATTTTTAATCAAGAAAACTACTTGGAAGATGAGCATGGTGCCATGAACCTGTTGTCTCAATTACAGCAAGAGGCATAAATAAGAGTATTGTGACACAGGCCATGAAAAAATCAGACTGTATCCTAAAACTAACCGAAGTATCTGGTAAAACAAACTGAGGAAGAATTCAGCAACTCCAAGCAAATGATAGTTATTGTTCTGTGAGTAGGAGAGAGCCACAGTGCTTTTCAGTATATTTTAATGAACAAATTGAGAGAACAAAACGTATTATTAATCTAAAATTTAAAAAGAAATAAAGGAAAAAGAGCTAGAGGCAGGGCTAAAGTGGTAGAATGCCTGTCTAACAAGTGTGGGGCTCTGAGTTCAAACCCCAATACTGCTGAGAGACAGAGAAATGGGGAGAGAGATGGAGAAGAGAGCGATGGAAGTAGACATGGGTGGAAGAGAGAGAGAGAGAGAGAGAGAGAGAGAGAGAGAGAGAGAGAGAGAGAGAGAGAGAGAAGCTACTTTGTGCAGGAATTCAGGAAAGAAAACAAAACTTTGCTTGGCAGCAAATGAAATGCCCTACTGCTGCTACTTCAGAAAGCCAGCAGCACAACATCAGACACAAGTGAAAAGCAGATTACCTTAGCTCTCTGGTTCTGGAACCACACCTGGACGACACGGACACTCAGCCCGGTTTCTGCAGCCAGCGTCTCCCTCACCTTGAAAAGAATTGAGCATTACTAGCATCTCAGGGTAGGAGGCAGAACATCTCCTGTGCAGTCCATAGACAAGGTCCCAGCAAGGAGGCCAGTGGGCTGGCTGCAGAGGTTAGCTTCTGAGCTCCTGATTCACGTTCAGTATAAACCAGGACAGAAGCACATGCTTTCCTGCAGGCAGAGGGGGCGTACTTCACCAGGTAAAAGCAAGGAACACTCAATTTAAATGCACATTCCCAGGAAGTGTTTCTGGGTTTTTCTTATTCTGAAATTAGGCCTTCACATGATTCTGAGACATGATAAAACTCTATTGCATTTTAGCTGTAGGCTATGCTCATATGTTTAACTTATTTAAAGAGAAGTAAAGTGAAAATAACTTTGCAAAAACAAACAGTTTTCTTCTCTTGCTTAAATTCATTGACCTAAAACTTTTGGTTTTCTCTCCCTAGCTCTAAGGGACTTTGGATGTTGTTCAAAGGTTCCTATTTACTGTTGTCCTGAGTGAGCCTTACTCAGAGAGAACAAGACATAAAACAAGAGCCATCTGCAACCTGGTAGGGCCCAGGAGACAACACTGATGCAGGAGCACACATTGGGTGCACCTGGAGATGCAGGTGATAAAGAAATGCGTTTAAATATCTTCCAGCTATCTGGGCCACAGCAAGAGACTGGAAAAACTGTGAGAAAGGATAAGACCAGGAAACACCGATTTCTAGAGCAGGACTGAGAGATGCAAACCTTCTTGATAAGTGTCCAGAGATGATAGGCTGGAAAGAACCCCTTAAATAAACATGTAAGTCCTGCAAATTGAGGACTTAGAAAATACTTCATCTTGACCCTGCTACTTTGGGTAAGGCTTAGGAGAAGAAGAAAGAATAGACTAGATATCCAAGAAACATCCTTCTGCTAAGCCAGCTACAACAGAAGGACACAGAGGGGACCCTGCACCTGCTGAAATCCTATCCCTGCCTTAGGGGCCCAGCTCAGAAACCACCTGCTCTACAAAGCCTTGCAGATTCCCCAGACAGAAGAGACCTTCCTCACATCTCCCAGTAATCCCTCCTTGACATCACCACAGCTCGCTCGCTGGTGCTTCCGTTGTGTGTGCACTCATGTATCTTCATCGGCACACAAGCATCATCATGAGACTCTATGGAGGCTAAGAGTTTGTACTGGAATGGTTGGTCTCTGCACACCTAGTTTGAGGGCCTCTCACTTTCTAGCAGTACTTCACTTGGAGCCAATGACAGGGAAGAAAGAGTTTCGAAGTTTAATCTTTTTCTCATGTCAGAGTGTGGCCAAATGTATTAACTGTTCAACACACATTAAGTGCCCCCTCCCCTGCTTTTTCCTTTGGATTCTGAGATGTAAAAATAAATAAACGATCAAAACATTGTGAGGGGTTTTTTTTTGGGGGGGTAGATAATATTTAACTTCTTATCTTTACGTAGTTGTACCAAGGGGTTACCATCGACATGTTGGTTTATAAGTATCAATGCCACTGAGTGTTTTGCACACATATTCACAGCAGCCTCACTCATATCATCCCCAAAGTAAACACTGTATTCCTCGATAGATGAAGGAACAAATAAGCCATGGCCTATGCACACAGTGGAACACCAATTAACAGCAAGATGGACTACTATATGAATGAGTCCCCATTACCATATCAAACTCTATCCCCTCCTCTCAAAAAAAAGAGTACTACAGCTGATACTAACACAAGGAGGAGGAGGAGTCTACTTGGCTTGCCATGTAATCCTATTGCTTGCCAGGAAATAAAATTAAAGATGTGAACCAGAGCCTTTTGGACTCGGTATACTTATAAAAAGGCATGAAGTGATTATATTAGTCCCAGAGCCATAGCTTAACTGTCCCTGTAGTCTGCAATAGAGCTTCTGTTCTCTTTCATTCATTGTCTGATTTTCCTTCCCCACATCTTGGACCCCAGCTGCCCAGTGCCACCCAGTCATCCAGGTACACACAGGAGAATGGAGCGCTCTTCCTTTTCTGCCCCTTTCCCCTAATACCTTTCTGCAGGGCTTGGAAGAAACCTCAAATGAGGCCTTGAATGCTCTCCTCTGCTGAGTTGTCAAGATGGTTCTGGGACGTTTAGGACGCTTGTGATCCTTGCCATCCTCCGTGGCTCCTTTTCCTGCCCCATGGGATGACTTGCAAAGACTTTCTTCATCATCACTTTTGCCTAGACAAAATAGAAAACAATGTGGTGAGTCCTTCAGTTACTTCTTGGAGCTGTATATTATTAAGTAACAAGACTCTTGGATGCCACACTCCCAGGAGGATGGCTTGCCATGTGAGTAGAATAAGCTGTGAGCTATGGTTTTGATAACTTTTAGGAAGAGGCTAAGCAAAGCTCTTCTAAACCCCAAGGCAGGAAGCAGAAAGTCCACTATGACACCTCAGGAGTTTACCGGAGTTATGTCCTGTCTCTGAATCTCCCAGTGTAGCAAGTTAGACATCTTTCTATGACCCAATTTCTTCAGGTTCAAAACTGTGATGTAAGAGGCTTTAAGGGGCTGTTGTAAAGATCAGAGGCAGAGAATTTGTTTTCAGCCAAGGGCCATTTGGATAATTACAACATTATTCAAGGGACATAAAAATGATCCTCAATTCAGACATCCAGGGGCAACTGAAAAGAAGCATCTGCAAAGCACATGTGTCTATCATGTACCACATGATTTTGTGGACTTTATACAGCCCAAAGGCAGGATGGTCCCCATCCCTGGAAGGCATCTGAATGCTGCCCAGCACATGATAAGTGCTTAGTATGTGTAAGTTATTAATATGATTTCCTAAATAATGTTTTTCCAAAATATATCTGTAGAAGTCTCATGCCACTTCTTAGACACTGTGTCAGGAATTCTAGCTGCCACAGGAGACAAAAACATTATTGTTCAAAATGGCATGGAAGGATAGCACTGGACTACTTATAAGCACAGATGACTAACACCAAGTGACCAGCTAAGACCAGCAATGCCTCAAACATATGTACCTATAAAATAAGCAACTCCCTACTAAAGTAACTACAAGGCTTTGTGAAATAATTCCATTCTGTAAGCAGTGAGGAATACAAGGATTTGTAAGGAAAATCAAGCTTTGAACATCCATCACCTTCTTTCCTGGGCACTCACATACAGAGACTTCAATCCTAAAAAAGTGCAGCCAAGGTTTAGGAAAAGACTATGTAAGAGAGATTCTGTTCTAAGTTGGGCACTAAAGCCTTTGGTATCAAGTAGGTAGGTCACACCTGTAATTCTAACTTCACAGAAAGGGGAGGTCCCAGACAACCCAGAAGGAGAAGCAAAAACTGATAAGAGGAAGCAAACAATGAAGAACTAAAAACCTCAGGGAAATAAGGAGAACTCCCAAGAGGACAAAAGATAGGACAGATTCACCCTTCATCCTACTCTTCCATGGCTTAGAAATTCTCCCGTAAGATATCACCTCACCCCAGTTAGAATGGCAAAATTCAATAACTCTAATAACAACAGATGCTGGAGGGGATGTGGACAGAAGGGAACCTTACTGAATTGTTGGTGGGAGTGTAAACTTGTTCAACCACTCTGGAAGCAGTATGGAGGTTCCTCAAAAGACTCCACATAGAGCTCCCCTATGACCCAGTAATCCCACTTTTGGGCATTTACCCAAATGCTTACAAACAAGACCACACTAGAGCTACCAGCACGACTATGTTTATTGCAGCATTATTTACTATAGCTAAGATATGGAACCAACCCAGATGCCCCTCAGTAGAGGAATGGATTAAGAAAATGTGGTATATATACACAAGGGGAATTCTATGCCTCCATCAGAAAGAATGACATTGCCCCATTTGTTAGGAAATGGAAAGGCCTGGAAAAAATTATATTAAGTGAAGTAAGCCAAGCCCAAAAAACATAGGTCCCATGGTTTCCCTTATTTGCAATATCTAGTATATGTCTGAGTCAAGCAGAAAAGGTCAGATAAGGTGATGTTAAGGAAATGAACCCTAAGATATGTATTTAAATGTTTTTTTTTCTTCATGCGATTGTTTCTAATGCATTTATAAGGCAATTTCTTTGTTGCTTTGTATGTCCTTCTCCCACAGTATAACAGTGCTTTCACTGTATTTGATGTTGGTATAATTTGTGGAGGGGAAGGGGAAAAACAAATCGTTTAAATAGGGATATAGGTGGATCCATTGCAACAATGAGATGTACAAGTCATTAGGTAGAAAAACGAACTTTACAACTTTGGTGGGGGGGGAGGATTGGGCGGGAGTGGGGGGGTGGGGAGGAGCATGGGAAGGGATGGGAAGGGGAAACAAAGGAGGAGGCTACAATGTTTGATAAGAAATGTACTCATTATCTTGCCCATGTAATTGTAACCCCTCTGTACAGTATTTTCACAATAAAAAAAAATAAAAATTAAATTAAAAAAAGAAAGAAATTCTCCCGGCCCCCATGTTTCAGCCAAGGAGTTTCTGCAGTCGGGTGAAGAAGACACTTCTCTGGTGTTACCAGGCAGACATCCTACCCAAGCTTCATGCAGATTAGCAAGACAGGTGACTCCAAAGGGTCCAGGGCTGAAGGCCAGCCTTAAAAATGAGAAGCAGGACAAGCAGAAACGGTCAGATAAGTTGATGTTAGGCGAAATGAACCCTAAGATAAGTATTCAAATGGTTTTTCTTTCTTGCAATTGTTTCTAACATATTTATAAGATGATTTCTTTGTTGCTTTGTATGTCCCTCCCCCACAGTATAACCTGTTTTCACTGTTGGTATACTTTGTGGAGGGGAAGGAAAAAAACAAATTGTTTAAATAGGGATACAGGTGGGCCCATTGCAACAATGAGATTTATAAGACGTTATGTCGTTATGTCGAACTTTACAAACTTCACAACTTTGGCGGGGAGGTGGAGGGGCAGATGGGAAGGGATGGGGAGGGGAAACAAAGAAGGAGGCTACAATGCTTGATAAGAAATGCACTCATTATCTTGCCCATGTAATTGTAACCCCTCTGTACGGTATTTTCACAATTAAAAAAAAAAACAAAAAACAAAAAAAAAGGGCAGGACAACTTGAACACAACACATTTTAAAATGAAACTATGTTACCTTCAAACACCTCAAGTCTTCTATCACTGTGGTCAACAAAATAATATTTGCATGTCTTATGGAGTCCAAAGATTCTTTTTTTTATTGTGAAAATACTGTACAGAGGGGTTAACGATTACATGGACAAGGTAATGAGTACGTTTCTTATCAAGCATTGTTACCCCCTCCTTTGTTACCCCTTCCCATCTTCTCTCCCCACCCCCCCCAGTCCAAAGATTCTTTTACTGTCACTGTTGTACCAAATACAGTTTCGTGTAAATGCTTAATAAGTTAGATAAGGTAACTAATGAAAATGTAAAGCCTAAAATAATAATAGTGGCCCAGGGCTGGGAATGTGGCTTAGTGGTAGAGTGCTTGCCCAGCATGCATGAAGCCCTGGGTTTGATTCCTTAGAATCACATAAACAGAAAAGTTGGAAGTGGCACCGAGGCTCAAGTGGTAAAGTGCTAGCGTTGAGCAAATTAAGCTCAGGGACAGTGTCCAGGCCCTGAGTTCAAGCTCCAGGACTGGAAAAATTAAAATAAAAAATAAGAGTGGCCCATAGGCTGACACTATCCAGGAAAAGAGGCATTGTGTCTACAAGCATGGGCTTTTGGACTCATCTACACTCATGCTTGAATTCTGGCCCTACTGGTTACTGTGCTAGATTCTGAATGTACTCATAAAGACTCATCCTCAGATACTCATGAGGAAAAGTAATTGTGTTGTGAGAATTAAAATGAGCTGATAGATGTACAGGGTTTAAGCATTGTTTAGGATGTGATAGGTGTTGAACAAATAAATGATGGCCATCATTTCATCCTAAAAACTATTCTTGATCCAAGACACATACTGTCAATCAGTAATAGTCTCCTATTGATCAGAGGTCTGTGCTAAGATTTTGTGTTACCAATGTTCATTTATCTCTTTTTCTGCAGACATGGATTCTCAACAACAGACCAAGTCAGCGGAAAGCAAGTGTGGGAGTGGGGCTGGTTCTGGAGAGGGTGTGATTGCTGGAGTATGTTCCCAGACAGGGCCTGGGGGATCCTCCCATTGCTGTCACTGTACCCAGCCTTCCCTAGGACACCTGCACGTTTCCAAAGAGCTGCTACCCCAACAAGGAGAAGGGGAAGAGAACCATCTCCAAGGCTAGACAGCCCTACAGGGAACTGCTTATTCTTTCTCTCTCACCCCTATACAGAAGACAGGGAAGAAAACAGGATGAGGAGGAGAATGAGGAGGAGGAGAAGGAGGAGGAGGAGGAGGAAGAGGAGAAGGAGGAGGAGGAGGAGGGAGCAATAGTCATACTGGTTTGTCTCTATAGTGTTCCTGTCACTTGTATGGTTCATTTTCCCCTGATTCCTCCTTTCTGCTACCTACAATCACCTTTATTCTTTCTTCAGGTCCCTCATTTTGTCTTCCCTGAAGTACTTTATGCTCTGGAATAGAACTTCTCTGTAGAATTACAGAGAATAACATTTTTCATCTTCATAGGCTCTGTGTTTTCTTTTGCGTTTCCTTATGTCTTCCATCCTAGAGGGCAGAGGGTAGCCCCAGGTGATATGAATAGAATAGGTGTACTCCAATCAAGCTGCATTTCCTAAGCAGGCAGGAGGCTAGGTTTGGCCTCATGCCAAAGTGTGCTGACTCCTGGCCCTAGACCTCACAATCCTGTTCTCCATCAAAACTTACATGTTCCGATTTTGGGGGTTCTGATTCTAGGAACAGAAAGTGCTGCTCATGGGATACATGGTGGAATCAATGGCTTGCATGATCTAATGTGTTCTCTTCCATGGTCAACAACACACATATTTAACAAGAAATGCTTCTACCCTTCTCAGGTGTCCTAGGCAGGTCTGGGTAAGAGAGAAGCCAAAGATGGAAGAAAAGAGCAGCACCTTGGCAAGTCACAAAGTACAGAGACACATGTCACCACCTAGCTGCCAATAGGAACTGACATGGCTATCTATCACCAGGCTCCAGTTGCTGAATTGATATATGGATATAGATATGTCAGGGGCATAACATTATCTTTTGATTTTCTTTGGGTAATTCCAAAGCTGCTCCTTGGATGTTCAATGACGCCCCAGTATCCTCTTTCAGCAA